ACAAATGGGAAGGGGGGGGGGGTCAGCTCCATGCACACACAGACACTCATCAGCTCTCCCTAGGGGCTACTGGGGCAAGCCTAACTTTCTGGCAGATAACTTAGCAATGAGCGTTGTGTCGAAGTCATGTATAAAGGAGATGACTAAATATTAGACCCACTCAGCTCTAGAATTAACAGGCTCTGACATCTAGCAGTTCACTTAAGGGACATTAGGTAGGATTAAATTTTTATGGAATATTCTTACTTTCTTACTGGGAATGTTAGGGTTTAACCAAAACACCAGTTAACCAATAGGCCAAGTCTACACTGGTATCCTTTTCCGGAAATGCTTAAAACGGAACAGTTTTCCATTTTAAGTATTTCCGGAAAAAGCGCGTCTACATTGGCAGGATATTTTTCCGGAAAAGCGTCCGTGCCAATGTAGACGCGCTTTTCCGCAAAAAAGCCCCGATTGTCATTTTCGTGATCGGGGCTTTTTTGCAGAAAAGAAATCTGTGCTATCTACACTGGCCCTTTTTCAGAACAGTTTTCCAGAAAAGAATTTTTGCCTGAACGGGAACAACTTAGTTTTTCCGGAAAAGCACTGATGATTTTACAGTAGCTCGTCAGTGCTTTTCCGGAAATTCAAGGGGCCAGCGTAGACAGCTGGCAAGTTATTCCGGAAAAGCGGCTGATTTTTCCGGAATAAGTGGCCAGTGTAGACAGCCATTGAGTGTTGTTAGTTAGCTTGAATAATGTGGCTTGCTCACTATAGACTGTAGTGGCTGCTGTCACCTGTTAGCTGGTTAAACTTGCATTTAACTGATTAACTGGGATTTTACTTCCCTAACTCTAACATCTTCCCATCTGATTAACAAAGTGCCCACAGACAGCATGTCTAGATTGTTCCCCACTCAGAGTACAGAAGGTGTGGGCTCACAAGAGACCTTAAAGTATTTTTCCTCTATAGCAGAGACGGGCATTAATTTTAGATATGGGGGAGGGTCTCTTCACTAATTTTTGAAGTGGCTTCAAGCTGCCCTGGAAGGGGTGGGACCAGATCACTTCTCTGCTCTCTCTCCCACAGACCCTGATTGGCCTAAGGGTGCGGGGAGCATGTGAAGTCTTTGCCCCCGCCCTTTCCTGCATAGAGAGAACCATCGACTGTTCTGAACAGCTGCGGTTCCCTCTAGGCACCTGCCTTCTTGCAAGGCAGGAGGAGACTGTGAGCTTTCCCTGCCCCAGGCCAACTGGTGGATCCAGCCCACGGATGCCCTGCTACTACCCCACTCACAGGCCAATCAGGACCTGAGGGTGGGAGGAGCGTGCAGTCTCTCTCCTTGCCCCCCACCCTACAAGGGTCGCATGGTGCTTAGTGAAAGCACTGTGCTCCCCTTGCAGGGCAGGAGGAGACCACATGCTCCCGCCCTGCAAGGCGCATACGGCGCTTTCACTCTGAGCATCACCTGCTCTTTGCAGGGCAGGAGACTGTATGTTCTCCTACCCCCTAGGCCAATCAGGGTCGGGGGCAGGAGGAGCATGTGAAGTCTCTTGCTCCCTGTCCCCGCTCTGCAAGGGGTGCACGACACTTGCAAGGTAGGGTAAGGAGCCAAGAGACTTTGCGTGCCCGTCACGCCCCCAGGTCCTTATTGGCCTGGGAGTGGGGTAGTAGTAGGGCATCCGCAGGCTGGATCCACTTGCTTGGTGAGCTGGATCTAGCCTGCGGAGGCTCCTTTACTCACCCCTGCTCTATAGGCTTCCACTTAAGCACTCAGGCTACGTCTACACTGCAAGGTTTTTGTGTGAAAAATGTGGCGCATCCATACCTCAAATGTGCTTTTGCACAAATGAATCAGCAGTAAAACGGCAGAACAGAGGGCTTTTGCTGGTATAGGTACCTCTCCTTCTATGAGGCATAACTCCCTATTGCGCTACAGCTCTTGCACAAAAAGGCAAGTGTGGATGCTCCAGAGGGAAAAATCACAGGTGCTCTGATGGCCATTCTGTGAATGGGCATCAGAGCTTTCTTGCACAAGAGCATCCATGCAGTGAGGATGCTCTCTTGCGCAAAAGCACATCACTTTTGCAATGGTCTTTGAGGTGTGGACATGCTTTTGTGCAAGAAGTTTTTGCGCAAAAGTCTTCTTGCGCAAGAATCCTGCAGTGTAAATGTAGCCTCTCCAAGCTCACAGATTCCCTGGCTTCGGGAGTAGAGGTTTCACTTGGTGGTGGCAGCCTTTCTTCTTGAACCCAGAAAGAAAACACTTGCACTTCTTTCTGAGTGGCACACCCAAGGTATTTTACCACAAGAGAGCTTTAAAAAAGAAAGAGAGAGAGAAACTTCTGATAGCTGAGCTCTCCATCTTAAGCATTCATACACAAACCTCCTACCTTCCAGGGCACACGAATCAAATCATACCCTTAAAAAAGGAGACTTTAAAAACAAAACAGAAAGATGTATTTAGTAAAGTATACTTGGTTATTAGGTGTTATAAAGCAACTGAGAACAGAACAGATTAAAACACAAAATTGTATCTCTGGGATTTGGCTTCATACAGTGCATGGGGAGGGAGTTTTTCCTAATGTCCAACCTAAACCTCCCTTGCTGCATTTTAAGCCCATTGTTTCTTGCCCTGTCCTCAGAAGCTAAGGAGAATAATTTTTCTCCCTCCTTTTTGTGACACCCTTTTAGATATCTGAAAACTGCTATCATGTCCCCTCTGTTTCTCCTTTCCAAATTAAACAAGCCCAGTTTCAGCCTTCCTTCATAGGTCATGTTCTCTAGACCTTTAATCATTCTTGTTGCTCTTCTCTGGACCTTCTCCAATTTCTCCACATCTTTCTTGAAATGTGGTGCCCAGAAGTGGACACAGTACTCCAATTGAGGCCTGACCAACGCAGAATAGAATGGAAGAATGACTTCTCATATCTTGTTCACAAAATTAATGCATCCCAGAATTATGTTTGCTTTTTTTGCAACAGTGTCCTACTGTTGACTCATTTTAGCTTGTGGTTCATTATGACACCTAGATCCCTTTCTTAGTACTCCTTCCTAGACAGTCGCTTCCCATTCTGTATGTGAGAAATTGATTGTTCCTTCCTAAGTGGAATACTTCACATTTGTCCTTATTAAACTTCATCCTATTTACCTCAGACCATTTCTCCAGTTTGTCCAGATCATTTTGAATTATGACCCTATCCTCCAAAGCAGTTGCAATCTCTCCCAGCTTGGTATCATCTGCAAACTTAATAAGTGTACTTTCTATGGCGATATCTAAATCGTTGATGAAGATGTTGAACAGAACCGGTCCCAAAACAGACCCCTGCGGAACCCCACTTGTTATGCCCTTCCAGCAGGATTGTGAACCATTAATAACTACTCTATGGGAGCCAGTTATTCAACCACCTTATAGTAGCCCCATCTAAATTGTATTTGCTTAGTTTATTTGATTCGGTCTTGCATTATCTTATCAATAAAGTCTAGGTATACCACGTCCACTGCTTTTCCTTTATCCACAAGACTTGTTATCCTATCAAAGAAAGCTATTTATTCTGAAAATGGCTAGTAAAAATTAGAGGGAATGTTGCCCCAGTCCCTGCAGGACCTGAGCCCATGTTAAGCTAGGATCTGGATCTGAGACCTATTACTTTCCTGTGTATTTATGTCTTGACTTGGAACTCTCCGGAGCCAGTGGAGTTGGCTATTGGTTTCCCGTGCATGTCAGCTCCCACCTGCCATCCTGCTCCCAGGGAACCAGCAGCTGCTCCAAGTGCAGAGGCAGAAGCGCAGGGCAGCAGCCAGCTCCCTGGTTCCCAGACCAGGAACTGCATCTAACATTTGGCTAACCAATATGAGCTTATCAGTTACCTATTTAAGCAGTTGCACTCTTACATCTCTGATGTCTATTACACACAAGCTAAAAGCAACACAACTGTAAATGCTGCAGTTATGCTGCTATAGCATAGAGCCTCATGTTAGTAATAGAAAAGTTTTTTCTGTTGCTGTAGTTAATTTATCTCCTTGAGATGCACTGGTTAGATTAATGGAAAAATTCTTCTGTCAACCTAGGTCATCCTGACTATGTTGAACAGTTCATGCAATATTTCATATCTCCAGAAATGTAAGTTGACCTATGATTTAGCTGTAGACCAAACCTTAGTAACTTTTAGTAATGAAACTTTTGCTCCTAATACACTTAGGCACATTCAAACATTGTACTTGAAATCATTGTGCTTCAGTTCCCCCTCAGTAAAAATTAGAGATTTCCTTTTCTATCAATTATCTGTCTTATTAATGTAAAATATATTCTCTTCAGGGATTTACTATGTATTTTATTCAGAGCCTAGTACAAGGGGATCCTGATTTCTGTTGGGTTGATTGCATGGTGCTGTAATAAATGATTATAATGGTGGTCTAGGTGAAAGCAATCAGGAGATACCTTTAATGTAAAAACAATTAAATTAATTCCTTTGAAAAAATATGGCGACTTAGTAGTATGTTTTATCACTTTAACTATTTTTGTGGTTTGTTTGTTTGTTTTTTAGTGAAAAAGTGAATCCTGATGTCTTGCCCACCTACTTCACAATCTTCCCCTAGGCGAAGTGTAGCATCAGTAGTTCCCTTTGCAGATCTATGCTCAATTTTAGAACGAATACAGAAATGTAAATCCCGGCCAGAGAAAACCAAGTATTTTAAGGAATTTTTAGATTCATGGAGGAAATTTCATGATGCTCTTCACAAAAAAGAGAGAGATGTCACAGACTCTTTTTATCCAGCAATGCGTCTTATTCTCCCGCAATTGGAAAGAGAGAGAATGGCTTATGGAATTAAAGAAACCATGCTTGCTAAGCTGTATATTGAACTGCTCAATTTACCCAAAGAAGGAAAAGATGCCCTAAAACTTTTAAATTATAGAACACCTACTGGCTCACATGGAGATGCTGGAGACTTTGCAATGATTGCCTATTTTGTATTGAAACCAAGGTGCCCAAAACAAGGGAAACTGACAATAGAACAGGTGAATGAACTCTTGAATTCAGTTGCTGGTAATAATGCTGCCAAAAGAAAGGACCTAGTAAAGAAAAATCTTCTTCAGTTAATAACTCAGAGCTCAGCACTCGAACAAAAGTGGCTAATCAGGATGATTATAAAGGATCTAAAACTTGGTGTTAGCCAGCAAACCATATTTTCCCTTTTCCATCCTGATGCTTCCGAGTTACACAATGTCACAACTGACCTAGAGAAAGTTTGCAGACTACTTCATGACCCTGCTGTGTCACTCAGTGATGTTTCCATCATGTTGTTTTCTGCCTTTAAACCTATGCTTGCTGCTATTGCTAATGTCAAGCAAATCGAGAAACAAATGAATAACCAGAGTTTCTACATAGAAACTAAACTAGATGGTGAACGTATGCAGATGCATAAAGATGGTGATGTATACAAGTATTTCTCCCGTAATGGGTATGATTATACTCAGCAGTTTGGTGCTTCTCCCCTTGAAGGTTCATTAACTCCATTTATTCATAATGTGTTTAAAAATAATATACAAAACTGCATTCTTGATGGTGAAATGATGGCCTACAATCCCAATACACAAACTTTTATGCAGAAGGGAAACAAATTTGACATAAAAAGAATGGTAGATGATTCTGATCTGCAGACATGTTTTTGTGTGTTTGATGTATTATTGGTTAATGATCAGAAATTGGGTCATGAAGTACTAAGCAAAAGATATGAGATTCTAAATGAACTCTTCACACCAATGATAGGCAGAATTCACATAGTGCATAAAACACAAGCTAGCACTAGGAAAGAAGTAGTTGATGCTCTAAATGAAGCAATAGATAACAGAGAAGAAGGAATCATGATAAAAGATCCTATGTCCATTTACAAGCCAGACAAGCGTGGAGAAGGCTGGTTAAAAATCAAACCTGAATATGTCAATGGACTCATGGATGAACTAGACCTTTTAATTGTTGGTGGTTACTGGGGCAAAGGTTTGCGTGGTGGCATGATGTCTCACTTTTTGTGTGCTGTTGCTGAGACTTCCCCTCCTGGTGAAAAACCATCTGTATTTCATTCTGTTTGTCGTGTTGGTTCTGGTTACACTATGAAGGAGCTGTATGATCTTGGTTTGAAGTTGGCCAAACACTGGAAACCTTTTCGTAAAAGAGATCCTCCATGTAACATTTTATGTGGGACTGAGAAGCCTGAAGTTTACATTGAGCCTTGTAACTCAGTCATAGTTCAGATTAAGGCAGCGGAGATTGTTGCTAGTGATATGTACAAAACTGACTGCACGCTGCGATTCCCTCGAATTGAGAAAATAAGAGAGGACAAAGAGTGGCATGAATGTATGACTTTGGATTTCTTAGAACAGCTCAGGGGTAAAGCTTCAGGGAAGCTAGCATCAAAGCACCTTGATATGGGAGATGATGAACCACAAGAAAAGAAACGGAAAACTGTACCGAAGGTAAAGAAAATAATTGGAATCATGGATCAGTTTAAAGCCCCTGATCTTTCCAATGTAAACAAGGTTTCTAATATATTTGAAGACGTTGAATTTTGTGTTATGACTGGAACTCAAAACCATTCCAAATCTGAACTGGAAAGTAAAGTAGCAGAAAGCGGTGGCAATGTGGTGCAAAATCCTGGACCAGACACTTATTGTGTTATTGCAGGAATTGAGAATGTCAGAGTAAAAAATATCATATTGTCCAACAAGCATGATGTTGTGAGAGCAGAGTGGCTTTTACAGTGTTTTGAAACAAAAATGTTTGTACCATGGCAGCCTGCCTTCATGATTCACATGTCTCCAGATACAAAACAACATTTTGCATGTGAGTATGACTGTTATGGTGACAGCTACACAGCAGATACAGATCTGACCCAAATAAAGGAAGTATTCTCAAGAATTAATGAAAATGATGAGAAGATGCCTTTGGACATGATTGCTGACTTAGAAGAACGTTATTTGTGGAACAGCTCTCCTCTCAGTATGTTCAGGCAAAATACCATTTATCTGGACCTTTATGCTGCTGTTAATGACCCGAGTACCAAGACCCATGGAACAATGCTATCAATTAGAGCTTTGGAGCTCCGTTTCCATGGAGCAAAAGTAGTCTCGCAGCTAAAGGAGGGTGTGTCCCATGTAGTTATGGGAGAAGATCGTACCCGTGTGAAAGAGATAAAAGCACTTAGGAGAACATTTGAGAGAAAATTTAAAATCCTATCTGAGCTGTGGGTAACAGATTCTATAAAGGAGGGGAAGTTACAGTATGAAAATCAATATCTAATTTAAAACTGATTTTAATTAGAAGTAAAGATAACTTGCTGGTCTTAAGATTTGATGAGGTCAGTCTTTGTTTCCAGATGTGTACCTAGCCTATGGGTAAAGAGTAGCTCTAATATTTATATATTGAAAAAAGAAAAATAGCATCTCCTGTGCTGGAGAAGGAGAAAAAGACTTCAGACTACCTTGGGAGAGTGCTAATGAAATAATTATAAGCTTTGTGTTTACAAAGATCTCCCATAGGAGATTATTTTAATTATAGCCATGAAGTTAACCTTGTACCACTGATAAAACTTCCCTTTATTTATATACTATTTTCTACCATTTGATCTTTCTGAGGTGTGAGATTGAACTTTTAAATCAATAATATTTTAAAAGAATATGCAATTAAATTACAAAAAGCATCTTAAACCAAAGCATTAACACAGCTAACACGTTTTTATACGGTTAAATGTTCTACATCAATCACTGAATAATGATTGTATTATATACATTTTAACATTCTGAAGTAGATATTTAAGATATGCTAACTTTCAGGATTTAGTCTGCATGTAAATTTGGTGAAAGTGAATTTTAAGGGTATTTTTCAATAGTTCAATACTATTTGTGTAAGTGCTTCTGTGTGAGTAGACAGTATAGGCCTAGATCCAAAGGTTTAGTTGAAGGGTAAATAAAATATCCAAGTAACTTATATGTTGAGAATATACACATTTGAAAACTCCAGCAAATCGCTTACTGACCACAATACAGTCAGGATTCCCCCGCACTAATTTCAGCTTGCCTTTCTATATGTGAAAATATATGGGTTATTTTAAGGTGTTTAGTAATGTATAGCAAATACACTTCTGTTTTAACCAAGACTTTTTACTGAATGATTGAAATAAAGATCTCTATATTTTTATTCCAGTTTGAAATGTATTTTATTGGGAAAATACTTCTCTAAGGGGGTGGGAGGAGGTACGTGAACATTTAGTGGCTGATCCTGCCTTATTAAGGCATTAGTCATTAATGATGATGTACTCAAGATGAGGTTCTGCATAATGGTATTTGACCTTATGGATTTTTCAAAACAGTTATAAATAATTAGGAACATTATATCAGAGGCCAAAGGGGAAGAAAGTAGGTTTCTCATTTTCTTCCTCCCTTTCACTATTCACAAAAATTTATTATAAATCCCTATTTTTCTCCTAATATAGTTTACCTAATGAGTCATTAAACTGCAGAATACACAGATCCATTGTTTTTATGCACTACAAGTATGAAAGACAATGGATTTATTAAAATGGAAGATTTAAGCTAGCAGAAAATAGACCTACATAAGACACTCAACACACTCTCCTCTTAAAAGATCCCTTACAATTCAATATGTCTTAACAATATGACTTAACATTATTGGTAATATATGATGAAAAGCATCAGAACTATTTAATGCATCAATATTTTTCTCAATTTTAAAAAATGCACTTGAATCTTTTCTTTCTGCCTTATCTATTAAGTCATTTTTTTAAACCTGGGTTCTTAAAAAAACAACTTTTGCCTTAATCTCAGGTATGATACACTATAGATTAAAAAAAGGAAGGCCTGTGGCTTTGATGTTCAAAAATAAAATTCAGATCAACCTGCTAGCACTTCTTCAATGGAGTTGCTAGTGAAAACAATAAGGCTATGTCTACATTTGCAGCTTCATGCGCAAGAGCGGCTGTTCTTGCGCAATAATCCGCAGTGCATCCACACACCCGCTCCTGCACAAGAAGATTTACAGTACGGCGTGGTAAGAGATGGCTTCTTGCACAAGAGCTATGCTCTTTTCTTACAAGTGTAAGCTCTCTTGCGCAAGAGCTCTTGCCAAGACAGCCTCCACTTGTAAGAAAAGAGCATAGCTCTCACACAAGAAGCACAAGTGTGGACACTGTCTTGCGCAAGAAAGCTATTTTAGCTACAGAATTTTATTGCGCAAGAACCCCTGCCGCTCATCCACACTGCCATGGGCGCTTTTGCGCAAAAGCACATCTCTCATGGCAGTGTGGATGTGTTCTTGCACAGGACTCCTTGCACAAGAACCCACCAGTGTAGACATAGCCTGCAATGTATAAAAGTTATTCCAGGTGGAATCAATGTTTGTTTCTGGACCACATAAAGGGTTTATCTCTAAATTAATTTCAAACTGATTGGTACAATGAAATACAAATCAATTTAATCCTAATCACCATTCACTTTCACTCAAGCTGCCTTCCACTTTCCAATTGTCAATCATTTTCTCATGCTTCCTCAAAATCAAATCTAGAACAGCTTACCCCCCTAGTAGATTTCTCCACCTTCTGAACTAAAAATATAGGAGGGCCATCAAGCCCCAGGAATGGTTTATCACTTACTGCAAAGTGGTACTTTCAAACCGAGGGCTGTTAGAGAGAATTTTGATGCTGCTTCGGTGCAAGAACAAATTCTAGGTGTATTAACAGGAATGTAAAAATGTTTTTTAGGGTCACTCAGACCAGTAAGAGATTCTGTCCCTACTAGCCTCATAATTTTGGGTACCTTTGTGATATGTTAATATAGCTCAGAGCTCTGATGGCAGTAGCAAGCTTTCAAGCCCGAAGGTTTAACATGTTCCCACCTGCCTCCTTACTCCTTGCAGAGTGACTCCAACAACCTTTCTTGTAAAACAAAAAACTGGACTGTGTCGCACTTTAAAGACTAACAAGATGGTTTATTAGGTGATGAGCTTTCGTGGGCCAGACTCACTCCCTCAGATCAAATAGTGGAAGAAGATTGTCTCAACCATATGTACCAAAGGATACAATTAAAAAAATGAACACACATGAAAAGGACAAATCACATTTCAGAACAGAAGGGGTGAAGGTAAATGTCTGTGAGCTAATGATATTACCACTATTCTACCACTATTCAACCTTTCCAGTACTGAGTCTCCTCAAATCCATTCTACAATTTCTCAAGTATCAGACACACTGACTTTTCCAGTTGGTCACGCCCTGTGGGGTGAAACCTGCCCCTAGTTATCTCCCTGTGACTGCCCACTTCACCCAGAATGTACGTTGGAAACCTGCTTAGGATAAAATAAAGTTTAATAGAAATATGGCTTTAAAGATGAAATAAGGAAAAGCAAGCATACAAGTTACACAGAATACAATAAAAAAAATGTTACCTATGTTAGGCAAATTACATAAGAATGGTTATACTGCATCAGACTGAAGGTCCATGCTAGCCCAATATCCTATCTTCAGCTTGTGGCCAATGCTAGGTGCCCCAGGGGGAAGGAACAGAATAGGTAATAAAGTGATCCGTACTTCGTTGTCCATTCTCAGCTTCTGAGAAACAGAGGCTGGGGACACCATTCCTGTCCATCCTGGCTAATAGCCATGACTATATTCTCCATGAATATAACTAGATATTTTTTAAATCCTGTTATAGTCTTGGACTTCTCAACATCCTCTTGCAAGGAGTTCCACAGATTGTGCACTGTATGAATAACTACTTCCTTTTGTTTGTTCTAGACCTGCTGCTTATTAATTTCATTTGGTGACCCTTGGTTCTTGTGATATGGAAAGGAGTGAATAATTCTTTTTTTATTTACTTTCCACACCCATTATAATTTTATAGATCTCTATCATGTCCCCTTTTAATTGTCTCTTTCCAAACTGAAATGTCTCCATTTTATTAATCTTTCCTCATATGGCAGCTGTTCCAAACCCCAAATCATTTTTGATGCCCTTTTCTGAAATTTTCCCTATGCCAAGATATCTTTTTAAGGTGAGATAACTATATTTGAATGCAGGATTCAAGATGTGGGTGTAGCATGAATTTATATATAGGCAATGAGATATTCTCTGTCTCATTCTCTATCCCTTTCTGAATGATTCCTACCATTCCATTTGCTTTTTTGGCTGTTGCTGCTCACTGAGTGGATGTTTTCAGCGAATTATCCACAATGACTCCCAAGATCTCTCTCTGGAGTGGTAACAGCTAATTTAGTCCCCATCACATTATAAATACAGTTGGAATTATGTTTGCTAATATGCATTACTTTGCATTAAACAACATTAAAATTCATCTGCCATTCTGTTGCCCAATCACCTTGTTTTGTGAGATTTCTTTGAAGTTCTTCATAGTCTGCTTTGGACTTAACTATCTCAAGCAGTTTAGTATCATCTGCAAATCCTCTAGGGGACCTACCCTTTGTTTCCTATCTTTTAACCAGTTATCAATCCATGAGACAACCCAGAGGAGTAGCGAAGGTGTTATGCTCCCGGAGGGCAAAGGCAAAATTTGCAGCTCCCCTCCACCGAAGTGCAGCAGGGCCACAAACCTGGTGCACGGCTGAGCCTGACCCTGGGAGGAGAGGGGGGAGCTTGTAGTGTGTCTTTCCCCTCCCCCTCCAGTTTGGGGCTAGGCCTTCACATGCATTAATCCACTGGTGGAGATGGAAGAGGAGCTGGCTGGAGGTACGGGGAGGAGACTCCAGCTGGCAGCAGCGGGCGGATAAGGAGCAGGCAAACTGAGAGATGATGAGAAGCGGAGGGAGACTACATTGGTGCCCCTCTAGCATGGCACCTGGGTGCAACTCCCCCACCCCCCCAGCTCCCCTTTCCTGCACCACTGAGAGGACCTTTCCTCTTATCCTATGACAACTTACTTTGCTTAAGAGCCTTTGGTAAGGGACATTGTTAAAAGCTTTCCAGAAAAAGTACAGTATACCCACTTGATCTCCCTTGACCACATTTTTATTGACCCCCTCAAAGCATTCTAGTAGATTGGTGAGGCATGATTTCCTTTTATAGAAACAGTTGGCTTTTCCACAACAAATTATATTAATCTTTATGTCTGATAATTCTGTTCTTTACTATCGTTTCAGTCAATTTGCTTGGTACTAAAATTAGTTTTACTGGCCTACAATTGCCAGGATTACCTCTAGAATCCTTTTGAAATATTGGCATCGCATTAGCTTTCTTCCAGTCATTTGGTACCAAAGTTGATTTAAAGTGTAGATTGCAAACCATAGTTAATAGCTCCACAATTTCACATCTGAGTTCTTCCCCAACTCTTGGGTGAATGCCATCTGGTCCTGGCGACTTATTATTGATTAGTTTATCAATTCGTTCCAAAAGCTTCTCTAATTTGGGACAGTTCCTCAGATTTGTCACTTAAAAAGAATGGCTCAGGTTTGGGAATCTCCCTCGTGTCCTCAGCTGTGAAGACGGATACAAAGAATTCTTTTAGTTTTCTTCAGTCATAGAATTATAGGATATTAGAACTGGAAGGGACCTCGAGAGGTCATTAAGTCCAGCCCCCTGCAAAGCACTATCTAGGTCATCCCTGATATCTATCTAACCTGCTCTTAAATATCTCCAGTGATGGAGATTCACAACCTCCCTATGCAATTTATTCCAGTGTTTAACATCCTGAAAGTTAGGAAGTTTTTCCTAATATCCAACCTAAACCTCCCTTGCAGCAACATAAGCCCATTGCGTCTTGTTCAGCAGAGGCCAAGGAGAACAATTTTTCTCCCTCCTCCTAATCAAACCCTTTTAGATACTTGAAAACTGCTATCATGTCCCCTTTCAATCTTCCGTTTTCTAAACTAAACAAGCCCAATGCTTTCAGTCGTCCCTCATAGGTCATATTTTCTAGACCTTAATAATTTTTTGTTGCTCTTCTCTGGACCTTCTCCAATTTCTCCACATCTTTCTTTAAATGTGGTGCCCAGAACTGGACACAATACTCCAATTGAGGCCTATTCAATGCAGAATAGAGTGGAAGAATGACTTCTCATGTCTTGCTCACAACACTCCTGTTCATGGATCCCAGAATCATGTTTGTCTTTTTTTGCAAGTGTGACACTGTTGACTCATATTTAGCTTGTGGTCCACTTCGACTCCTAGATCT